CTTGGGAGGCTGAGGCAGGAGGATGGCAAGTTTAAGACCAACCTGGGCAACTTAGTGAGGCCCTAAACAACTTAGCAAGACCCTGTATCAAAATTATAAAAATAAAATAAAAAGGGCTAGGGTTTGTGGTAGAGCGCTTACCTAGCATGCATAAGGCACTGGGCTCAATCCTCAGCACCACATAAAAATAAAATAAAAATATTGTGTCCTTCTACAACTAAAAAATTTTAAAAAGGCTGGGGTTGTAGTTAAGTGGTAAATACCCTTGGGGTCAAGGATCAACTGTTTGCCCTCCTATGGCATAAGAAGAGTTACACATCTCAGTCACAAATTTCTGGTTGATAAAAATCATCAGTATGCCTGATGTTTAATTTTAGTGTGATTAGGAATCATTATACCAGCAACCTCAACCTTTATAATGCTAAAATTATTCACTTATTTCATTGTTGTCCAAATGTTTTTATGTCATGACACATAGAGAAATTGATTAGTGATTTTAGGATATCCTTTGTTAGTTGCCAAAAAGCTGAGGGTAACAGGCCTCATCTGGCCACTCCCAAGACTATGAGATATGGACTTCAGTAGTCCTGGGACACATTAGAAGTACACCATTGAGAAGTCCTATCTTGAAAGCTTAGGAAATTTTAGAATGAAATCAAGAGATGTTGGAATAAACCTAATCCATGGTCTTATTTTTATTTTATTTTTCATCATGCTGGGGATGGAACCCAGGGCCTTGTGCATGCCAGGCAAGCAAACGCTCTACCCCTGAGCTACAACCCCAGCTCTAATTTATGATTTTAATACATTTGAGTTGAATTTCTGAGTAATCCGTGTTTGTTTAAAGACTTAAAATGTTTGTGGCAAATTGGCATATTAGCAAATTAGAGAGATCACACAAGTTCTAATTTAAAATGTGTCATTTTACATGTGATTTCAAAGTAAATGGTATAAGAAAACTGGACTCAGTTCATACAGTATAATATATTGGAATGTTTTGGAGAATTTGAGATTCATGATATAAGTTCAATTTGTTTTGCTTTTTGTGAGTTAGGTACTAGGGAGATTTTGTTGTTGGCATTGAAAGCCTTTCCTGTCAGACATTAGACAGGCTTGAGAATAAAGCAATTAAATGTATAAATGCAGCTTAGAACAAGAGGATCCAGACTGCTCAATTTGGATAAGTCTGTTCACTGAGACTTCTTTCATATAAATTGTCTATATTCATACATGGAAAAACAAGATTTTAAGTTGAACCTTAAGGTTTAAGAAAAACTAGGTTTAGGTTGGGGATGCAGCTTAATGGTTGAGTGCTAGTTTAGTATGTACCAGGACCTGGGTTCCATCCCCAGCACCAAAAAAAAAAACAAAAAAAACACATTTTAAAACCTAGATTTCAAGGTTTTAAAATGTGTATTAAATATATCAAGTGGAGAAACCTGAGAGATACCACCTTAGATGAAAGTTAATGGCACCCCCCCCCAAAAAAAAAAGGGGGCAGACTATCATTATGTGGCTCCTGGCATGATGGGTAATGATACACCAGTGTAGTATGCCTGCCCCAAATTTGGACCCTGAATCTAACCCTGAGGACAATCAGACAAACCCAAATTGAAGCAAATCTGATGAAGTAACTGGCCTGTACTGTTAAAAAAAATGTCAATGTATTTTAACACAGAGAAATTGTTCCAGATACAAGCAGATCAAACAAATAGGCTACTGAGTGCATATTTGCAATCCCAGGGACTTGGGAGGCTGAGGTAGGATCAAAAGTTTGAGGCCAGCCTCAGTAATTTAATGAGACTCTGCCTCAAAATAAAATTTAAAAATGGGGCTGTGGATATACCCCAGAGGTAGAGTACCCCTGAGTTCAATCTTCAGAACCACACACACAAGAGGGTGGGTGGGCATTTGGGAAAACTAAATGTCATGAAATCATGAATTACACCTTAGACCAGGAAAAAGCATATGACAATAAAACATATTGGAAGAATTAACATTTGAAAATGTGCAGTGGAGTTTTCTATACTGCTTAGCTTCTGTATTTTAATAATCGTAGTGTTTCATTCCAGAGAATTTCCTATGTGAACTATTTAAGTGTAAAGGTGCATGATATCTACAACTGAAGCTGAAGATGGTTCAGGAAAAAGCCAAATCTATCTGTCCATCAAAACAACAATAAGGAAAAGGGGGAAATGTAAGCAATTGGTTCCTTTAGGTAAAGAGTATATGGAGATTTCTAGTCTTGCAATTTTTCTTCAGTATCAATTATTTCCAAATACAAAAGTCACAAGAAGAGCTAAGAATTTATCTGGAATACGTGTAACACACACATGCACGCACACACACACACACACACATACACATATAAAAATTTAAGCTTCAAGTTACTGTAGTCTTTTCTGGGTACAAAAGCTTCTCAAACATCTCTGCATTTTCACACAATAGGTATTGTTTATCATGGAACATCTGGCAGGTTGCCACTCTCATGTTGTCAAATAATCCATGAGGGAGCAGAACCCTGAAGTCCAAGGGGCAATGAGGAATGTGTTTGTGCTTCCTGCTCCAGTGGCTTTACTACTGTGGGAAAGAATTTGATTCATGTCCTTCCTACACTTAATTTGAAGGCAGTCTTTGCATGTGTGCCAGTGCCTGCCTTTGTATTCATTCCACCATTAGAACATTACAAATTCAGGGAAATCCCATAGCAGCTCCACAGAACACATCCATTAGTCTTGGTGCTTTCCCCCAAACACACATTCTGCTTGCTGGTGCACAATCTGCGCCAGCTTGCTTCGTTTTAATTTTTAACTTTATTAATTCGGTCCCCTCCAACATGTGCCAAGTATGGAATGAAAAGCCAAATGCCCTCCTCAGAGTCAGCCACACACAGTTGTTTCAGACACTGAAATGCTGAAGATTCCTCAGTTATCTAGTTAATTGTCACCAAAACAGCCAGTCTGGATGTTTCAACAAGGCAGGTTTGTATAATGGTGGAAGGGATACATGGTTTATTTATTTAAATAGCCTGACAATTATTTGTGGTAGATGTGGAATTCGAGACACAATTTCAATGCAGTACTTATGCACGTGGACATCATCACCCCCTCCCTCCAAATGAGCAAATGATTTCTATCAGAGGTGCCCACACTATCACCATCCTTGAGTTTGATCATCTCCTATTATGTCCAAAATCAATAGAATTATTCCTTTGGTCCACAAGCATCTGATCTCTATTGGGGGAGCCTCTACCACGACTGTTGGGAGACAAAGATAACCTCCCCCTAGAGGACCTAAGATGGCTGCCTCTTTCACAGGTAGAGCAGGCAGCAGAGCAGGGCAGGGAGGAGGAAAAGGATCTCCTGTGTGGTTGTTATGACTACTGTTGGGGAATCCTCCCCAGAACAGGTTCGAAGGTCATAATTTTAGGTGCCTCTCCAACTGCTCACACATCCCCTGAGGTCTGGGCCTATTAGCTATGGTAGAAGTGGTAGGAAATTCTCTAGAATGGCAAAGTGTAAATTGCAAATTGGTTTAATCCATATACTTATTACTAAAAACAAAAAAAGTGATCACTATGACTACCCCTCCACAAAATGTATCTCCCAGCCTATAAATGCTTATCCTCTGTTATGGTTTATATTAGGTGTCCCCCAAAAGCTCATGTGTGAGACAATGCACGATGGTTTAGAGGTGAATAATTAGTTTATGAGATCCTTAACCGAATCAGTGAATTAATCCTGTGGTGGGGATTAACTGAGTGGTAACTGAATATGGGTTGGGTGTAGCTAGAAGAGGTGGGTCATTGGGGTATATATTTTGTGCCTGAAGAGGAGGGCTCTCTTTCGGCTTCTTGGTGCCATGCCCTGAGCCACTTTCCTCTACCATACTCTCTCCCTGTTACCAAAAGCTCAGTTCTTGTTTCTGAAAAAGGAAATATTGCTTGCTAGCAAAGGAGGAACGTAAGGTCTCCAGTCCCAGAGGCTAATTGATTCTCTCTATCTATAAAAGGGGGCTTTTAAAGACTCCTTACCACGTGTGGTCCTTGTAGAGTGATTGTGACTCACTTGTTAATTTCGGAGATATCCACCCACCTCCACCAGTCTGAATTGCTTGCTTCCTGTGGTGCATGTGTGCTCAAACAACCAGGAGGGGAAGAAGGTAATCATGTTCCCTGCTCCCAGGTTAGGAAAGGGGAGAGGGAGAAGAGGAAAGGAAATCAGCCTCAATGGCAGAGCAGCAAGGGCTATATTCAAAGCATGAGGTTTGTTACACTGTTACACTACCATGATATTCGGCCTCACCTTGAGTTCCCTGGAATGGAGCCAGTCTTCTATGGACTGAGACCTCTGAAACTATGAGCCCCCAAATAAACTTTTTCTTCTCTAATTGTTCTTGTCAGGTATTTTTGGTCATAGCAGCGAAAAAGCTGACAAAAACACCCTCTTTGATCCTGCAACCTCACTTCTAGGAATGGGTTTCATGGATATAATTGTGTATAAGAAAAATGATGAAATAAGAAATGTACATAGCCAACGATGAAAAATAACTCATATATTCTACCAAAATGAACCACTTAAATAACTTTCATATACTGGAATATTATAAAGCTATCAAAAATGAAAATTTTTTATATATTGACATGAAAAGACTTAAGTTTTAAAAAGGTAGGAATATATATTTATAGTTGCTTATATACTAATAGACACTTTGTAAGAATATATCAGAAATAACTGTTTACTCAAAAGGCAGTGAAGATAATGTGGGACCACCCTGTGATGGTTGGGAGGCTTTTCACTATTTACCTTTCTCAATTTTCATTTTTCATTCACACAAATGTGTGCTTGTAGTCCCAGCTGTTTGGGAGGCTGAGACAGGAAGATCACTTGAGTCCGGAAGTTTGAGGCCCATCTGCGTGACACAGAGAGACTTCATCCCCGCCCCAATAAATGAAATAAATAACAGAAATAACTAAAAGTAGAAACAAAGCATCAGTCTGATTGACACTTTTTGTAACGTAACTGCGTGCTTTATTGAGATACACAGTAAAGCAGTAATATAATACAATAGTAAGGCATATATTTGGTGAAGTCTGATATGTTGTGAAAATGCAGTAAAACTGAAGTTTAAAAAAATAATTAGTAAATGTTACAGTGTTGGTGTTTAAACACAATATTATTATGATACTCAAGTAAGAACCCAGTACCTGAAAACAATGACATAACATGCCATGTGATGCTTATGCTTCAGTTACACTGATTATGATTTACAGTTTAACACTCAGTGGTTATAAAGAACACAAAATAATGTCCAAATTATGCTTTAAACTCAGCAATAAAGCTCTCAGTTTTTATTCAAATATTTTGACAGACTCACTCCAGAACTAATATCTAAAAGATAAAACAAAATCAAAAGATTAAAACAAAATTATGCACTCTACCTCTGATTTTAGAGTGAAACCTAAAACTTCTTAGTAGGATGTAAAGTAACCCCTTGTTTTAAATGTTGGTTAAAACAAACCTCGGGTAAAGAAAAAGTCCAGCGTCAGAGAAAGGAAAAAATGCAAGACTAAAACCAAATCTCCAAGTAACTTAGAGCTCTCCTTAGAGCTTTGGAAATTATAAAGGAGAAAGAAAATGGAGAGTAATGGCCACACGATACACACGTGGCGAAGCTGTGAAATCAGGTGTGCACAATTACCAGGAACACCCCAAAACCAAAGTGAGGTAGAAATAGCATGAGAAGCTGTGTGTGATGTTAATTATCATTAATAAAACAATGGACAAAACCCACACTCCAAAAGTTAATTACACTTGATGTCAGAGGTAACAGATTTGCAAAGTAATAGGACACACAATGATTTCTATTGAATTAATGCATTTTTAAAAATTAAATAGTAATAAAATGGCATGAAAGAGTAAAGCTTTTTCCTACCAGTCCTTAGCTTTTCCTCTTCACTGTTTCTCCTCACTTTGAAGAATTTGTTTGCTTATATATTTATCCTGCCTAATTCACCGTAAAGGGTTTGGAGAAGGATTTGCTTTTGGAACAGATGAATTGATTTGCCTTCCCACTTGCAAACCTTTGTGGAACTTCTTGTAGAGAAATGTGAAGGAGGGAAACAGAGTTCATGGGCTTCTGGATGGATATTTACCACTGTCACAACGTGATGGGGCTACTGTCTTACACATTTTCCCAAGGGTTATTTTAAACTAATTTCTTGCAGCATTCAAAAATTCATCATGATGGGAAGAAAATCGACAAAACAACAATAACAAACCACTCACTTCTCTGTGAGAAGAGGGCAGAAAAATTCATTTGTGATTATAGATATGTGTGTATGGATGGTTATGAATCTTCATCCAGTCCTCTAAGAGTGGCCTGCTCCCTCACAGGGATGGGCTGGGAATCCATAGCCCTATAGCCCCGCCACTGTCCTCCTAGTGCCTGGGAGTTAAAATGCCTTCTGATGCTCCTAATTTCCACAGAAGCATCATTAAATCTAAATGGTGGCTTAGCCAGCAACAGGAAGCCAAACATATCAACCAAAATATTACTGTGATATAGTAAGTCTTATGGATTCCTTCACATGTTCCTTTTTTAAAAAAATTCAATACTCTAGTCAGTGGAAAGTTTAAAATGAGAAACATCTGGAGTCCTGGACAATGTTTTAGTGTGGTAGTTTCCTCCTAGCTTCAGGCTCCAGAGAAAATTCATTCAAGACCAAGCAGGTAAGTCCAGATGACTAGAAGCAGTTTTTTTTTTTTTTTTTCCCATTAGAAAGTGGCAGGAACATTTGAAGAAGAAATTTAAAAGGTCTATAGAAATTCTTTCCCTTTCTCTATATACCTATAGTATTTATATACTTATAGACATATAGATGTATAAAATGAAAGCCCACAGCCAGACCCACTCAGTCAACGATACTCAAAGGAGCAATGTGAAGTAGTCATTTGGTGGTGTTAGAAGAAGTCCTATCTTTAATATGCAAGGAAAGAAAAAAAGCCATGAACCTCATATGAATATTACACTAAAACAATGCAAAACAATGCGCTGCCTCAGTTCGTGTGTGTCTTGTGTGTGTGTGTGTGTGTGTGTGTGTGTGTGTGCGCGTGTATATGTTTGTTTTTAGGGGTTTTTATAAACAACTTTTTTTTTATAAAGCACACTTTAGTTTACAATCTTTCTTTATAACTGTTATAAATTTTTAAACAACCCAAAATGCGTTCCATATAAAGAAATGGCAAGTTATTTAGCTATCAAGATTTTACATGTAGTTTTCTTATAACTTTTTTGTACAATTGCATAGACGTGTAAAACCTGCCATTGTTAACAAAACAATAACAGACTTAGAAACTACTGAAATCTACAGTATAGTACCACTACCCTTCACAAAAATATAGATTTTATTTCTTGTAAACTCTTACTGTCTAATCCTCTTTGTTGTATGAATATTATAAAAACCATGCGGGAATCAGGAGTTGTAAAACATTTATTCTGCTCCTTCTTCATCTGTCATGACTGAAACTAAGGACTCCATCGCTCTTCCCAAATCATCTGCCATGTGGAAAAGGCTTCCTACATTGTGTCCTGGAAAACAAAGAGAAACAAAGGGTGTAGGTATCATCATCTTGATTTTCTTGCTATTTGGGAAATCATTACCCACTTCTGGGTGAAGACAACACAGAAGCTGCACTGAAGGTGAACACAACAGGGTTTAATTTCCCCCAGTTTCCAGAAAGAAGCAAAGCCTTGTTAATGAAGCATCACACATTGTTAGTATCAGCTTGCTTAATACTGGAGCAGGCTACTGGTGTCATTTACATGAAAAATATTGAGCACTGCATTCATCTTCCCAATGGAACTATCATATAGCAAAAAGATTCTGTGGATAAACACAAGATTCCTATTGTAACAGGAATCATTTCATGATGAGGTAACACTTTTTCCACCTTACTGTATTTATATCTACTTGTACTATTTTTTATGATCAAACCACCCCTACCATAACTGTCACCACCCTCATGAGTACCATCACCACCATCATGATCATCATCACCATAACCACAATACCATCACCATTAACATCACGGCCACCATCACCACCATATGAAATCTTCATTTCCAGGCTATGTCAGGCTGTGAAGGGTAGAGGTAGTATTGCAGAGGTGGCTGATTCCTCTCTGCTTTTACTTGGGTTGAAAAATAAACTCTTGAATTGACCTTTGTGTATACTATCAACATTTGAATTAGGAAACTTCAGAGTAAAAATTGCCTCTTATCCCAAATCACTCTAGAGCCTAATTATAATATGACCCACATTCTAGCACGCATAAGGCCCTGGGTTCAATCTCTAGCACCAGAAAAATATAATAATATGACCCACATGTATGCATGGATTTGGGTACCTGTGTATCCATCTTTGATATCCTCCTAAATGAGGGTTAACTATCAGAATAACCTTTTAATAATAATGTGGCATGACCTAGCATTAATGCCCCAGAATGGAACATAAGAACAGCATGTTCCTGGATGCTTTGTAGCAAAATTTAGATCTAGACTATGATGTTCTGAGACATTCACACTTTATGGCTTTCCTTTTCATTTATGTCCCATATTTTTATGGGGCTAATTTTAATTCTTAGACACTGGTAAATCATACTGCTCAAAGTACTGCCTTTGGAATGGAAAAGCTTTCCTAGGCTATGACTACCTTGCCATGGATCAACTTTACAGATTCCCAGAATAATTGTTAAAATCCCAATAAAAATTAAAGATAGTCTAAAGCAGGTATTCTGTCCTAATATTTATTCCCAGAGACATGTCTTTTTTTTTTTTTTTTTTTTTTTAATACGAGGGGATCAAAAGAGGATTCACGGGCAGGCACTTAAAATGCCACAATGGCACCAGATCAATTTAGGACTTATTAAAAGTTTAATGTGATTCAAGCATTTGTGTTACAGTGACCAAGTTTGTAAATCTCTTTGAGCTTTATTAGTGCAAAAAGTTTTGGCGAGAGCTAATTACATTCTTTTTAAAAATCACTTTGGATTTTGGCTGAGACTGCAAATATAAAAATTTTTAACAAAGCCTATGTACTGTTCAAAAAAGTGGTCAACAGTTTGGCAGTCCTCTATGAAGAACTGAAATTGTCTTTTGACTTCTTATTCTTTTTAAAATATTTATTTTTTAGTTGTAGTTGGACACAATACCTTTATTTTTTTTTATGTGGTGCTAAGGATCTAACCCAGGCTTTACATGTGCTAGGCGAGTGCTCTACCGCTGAGCCACAACGCACCCCCACCACCCAGTCTTTGACTTCTTTATATTATAAAAACCACAGCAAGATGCAGTGGATCCTTTGTTGCTCCTTCCTGCTCAGAGTACAAATAGATAATGATGCCACCAGCCAGGAGGGCTTCTCGGTTTTGTTTTGGTACTGGGGATTGAACCCAGTGTTTCTCTAGAACTGAGCTATATCCCCCTGCCACTTTTATTTTATTTTGAGACAGGGTCTTACTGAGTTGTCCTGGCTGGCCTCCAACTTGGGGTTCTCCTGCCTCAGCCTCCAGAGTAGCTGGGATTAACAGGCATGTACCACAATCCCTGGCCCTGTATCTATTTTTGAGTGCACAGCAATCCTGGGAAATCTGCACAATCATTCATGCATAATTGAAAAGGATGAACTGCAAATTTTGAATTACTAGCAATCTTCACAGCTATTAACAAAGCCAGTGAAAAAAAATCTCAGATCCTAACAACATGATATCTGAATATAATTCAAACTATTTCTTATGTCCCACATCTAACTATAGGATACTTCACCTAATAGCTAGAAAATGTATTGTAAAACATAAATAAAAAAAGGAAAGAACTTGGTTTTTCTTGCTCGCTATGGATAATAAAAGTGCCTTTTTAGAACATGTGCTAAGGGATGTGGACTAAAGTTCAAAAAATATTAAAATAAGTAAATGCATCTGTAAATTATATAGCCAAGTGGTGCTTCTATTCTTTAAAATGTGTTCAGTTACCACCTGGAAGGAAAATTCTTGAGTTTCTTAAGAGGCATAAATTCTAGGGGTATCTGCTATTGAAAACTTTGCCAGGGAAAACAGGTTCATTATTCTTAATACAAAACATATATTCCCACAAAAATGTTAGATGGTTTTTCACCTGTTTAGACTGTTAAATGTTAAAAATATAATATAAGGATGGCCACAAGTGGCCATCCTTATATTATAAAAACAAAGAGTTTTTAGAGTCACCTCACCATATCTGTTATCCCTTTAATTACTGCATTTATAAATACCTGTTTCACCAAAATAATGATTCCATTTTTTTTCATGAAGGTTTCCATAAGATCCAGAAAAAAAAATACAAATTCTGTTTTGGACAAAATATTGCCCCAAAGAATCAAACCTCAATCCACTGGAGGATTCAAACCACACTGTGACATGCATACATAAAACCAATTTGTATCCTAGTTCTACTATCCGTGTGGGTAAGGCACAGCATTAGTGCGGTCATCAATTTTACCTGACAGATTTTTCTAAAGTCAAAATTAAAATCTCATTCCTATAAACGCAAGGGGCACTGAAAAGCAGCCAGGATTCAGGCGTTTGCAATCAGCTTCAGGCACAAGTTGACACCAAAATATGTCTATAGAAAGTATTAATTTAATCCATTCTTAAGCAAGGATTATTGAACACAAAGGCACCATGCGTTGAACATTAGGGCAGTTTTATGTTTTTCCAAGTTGGCACTAACTGCAACACATTTAGTCTCACAAGCCGCCACTGCCTAAGGGAGTTGTTTTCCACAGTGATTGGAATTGAGACTTTCTGGCAAACATCCAAGACCTCAATAGCAATCTGGCACTCTATTTTTTTTAAAAATACAATTCCCAAATAAATGGTTAGTATTCAGTTGGCCCAAGCAAAGCCAGAATACTGCAGTGAAATTTGCTTATCTTTTCTTCTCTATAGTTTAATCTCTGGGAAATATCTGGTCTACTGTGCATTTAGGGTATTGTCATAGCATTAAAAAAGTGATTATTGTTTTGATTCTCTGGCTTCTGGAAACTTATCTGACTATAGTATGCCTTAGGTAGTCATCTCCAAGTGCCTCTGTGACTTTAATTTTGTGTGCTGGCCTTTTAAAAAAGTTGTTCATCAAAAAGAACGCATACAGGGGGTCAAAACTGTGGCACAACTTTTCACAAAAAGTTAAAATAAATTTTAAGAGGCACTTACCATAAGAACGAAACCAAGAAGTGTCACATATGAAGTACATGAGGTAGGAGCACTCAATGCTTCACTGATTCAGGTTTCTTTAATTTTTCCTCCCAGCCTACCACTCCCTCCCTAAGACCCCATTGCATGAAGCCCTGGAAGGGAGCACTGGTGTAGACACACTGAGGATCATGGGATTCATTAAACTTGCACAGCATGGTGTTAGCAGAATTTCCAGTATGATTTCTTATGTTTAAATGAATCAGTGGACTTCAGTCCATCCCATTGCTAACAATCCAGAATCTTCTCATATAGGAACTTTCCACCCATTCAATCTGTCACCCAGAACAGTGCATACCACTGACATCCCACCAGTGAGCTTTCCTTCTCCTCTCTTTCACATTAAACTCTTGGCAAGGACAATCTTGTTTCATTTGGGCTGTCACTCAACACTGTCATCCAACAGCCACTTGATTAGGTAATTCGATGTTCAGACAATATTCCAGGTAGAACAGGAGTAAGAAGCAGTTTTTTCACTGTAAAATCCCTAAACCACATTCAGTGATAGTGCTGTATGCTGCTGCTTTCAACCCCTAGTGAGACATTAAAAGAAATTCAAGACTCCAACTTTCAATTTTTTTTTGGAACCTAATTGGTTATTATTCTCTCTTAGTTCCAAATGCCAAATGAAAAGGAACATCTTCTAAAGGGCAAGTGAAGATGACATAAGCATTTCAACGCTATTTTCTGAGGTGGCAGTATAGCGTAAGAGTTAGGAGTATGGCTCTGGAGCCAGGTTGCCTGGAATTTAATCCTGGCTCTGTCACCTTGGACACACTGCTAACCCTCTTACTAACTGAATTTCCTTATCTGTAAAATGGGGTTAAGAAGTGTATCTACTTCATAGATCTGTCATTAAGATTATTTGAGGGAAAATATAGCAGGGGCTTAGAACAGTGCCTGGCACACAGTATGTGCTTCAAAAATATTAGCTAAAATGGGAAAGAGTGTAGGAACCAGGAAAAAAGAAAACAAAACCCAAATGACATCATCCCAGAAGACTAAAATCCAAGGGCACTGGCAGAAAATGCTAAGGTCCTGGAAGTGGAAGGAAGCTTTATGACTCATCAATTATGTTCACGGCTAAATTTATTTTGAAGACTTTGTTTGTGTTGCAAATGGCAACAGATGATGAACTGCAGGATTACATCCTAGGGACCACAGAGGATTGCCACTTTCAAGAGATTTCTGCTCCCCCAACCCCCATTCTGTCGTCATGGTGATGACCACAGCAATGAATGTTTGAGGAATGTTCTTCATGAGCTGCAAGTGGAGAGGTGACTACCATCCTTACATTATGACACAATGTGCAATACACACATGCGCGTGCACACACACATTTCTTACACAAAGGCCAAACATAGAAAGCGGGATGAGACAGACAGAAGCCATGGCTGTGAGCCTGAATCTCACTAACCTCTCTCATTGGTTTTCCAGGGGTATTTCTTCCTTTAATAATAGAGAGAGGAAGAGGTAGAGATATCAGAAAGGGGAAAAAAAACATGCATAAATATACAATTTCATACCAATTTGCTTCTTTTACCAAACAAATGTTGCGATGACAATTCATTTATTCCCTTCTGGAGGAAAAAAAAACAAACAAACAGAAAAACCCAAAAGACACATCTAGTCGAATAACCTTTACATACACTTAAAAATCAGTGTAAACAGAAAACATGATTCAGGAGACATCATTTATAGAATCCACAGAGTTCACGCATTAAACTGGATGAAAACTGGCATGGAATAGAAATTTGACAAATTGAGCATTGTTTTCAAGGGCAACTGTAGAATCTTAAGCTTAATATTCAATAATCTCAGACTCTCTTCACTTTGGACTTGACAATCAACACACTGAAACATAAAAAGTAATTGGCTGTTGTGTGCCAAAACTTTGCACCCCAAATGCAAAGGAGAATCCCATATAGAGGCTGAACTCCATACTCCTGGGATAATCTATTCTATCTGGTAGAAACTGAGTATATTGATGATTGGACTGGGGACATTTGAGAAGATAGCAAGAAAAGATGAAGGGAAGAAGTGAATCTCACTAATGGGCAGGCCATAGAGCCAGATCCAAGAATGAGCCTTCAGTCTCCTCAAATTTCAATAAATATCAGAACATTGAGAGTCAATGGCTAAAGACACACTTGGCTTGCTTTACAGAATCCTATATCTATATGCATTTAACCTATTTTTGAATGAGAAAGTATGTTTCATAGTTGGATGGAAATTAGGAACCTCCGACCATACTTAATATCTCTTGGGCATGAAGTTTCCTTTTATCTCCAGGTCTTCAAAAGTGAAATACTGGGTTTCAAGCTATTTGGCTTTGGCCATGGGACATTTCCTAATAGTCTTAAATGGAATTCCAGCATTTATAATAGATAAAAGTGGAGTTGTTAGAGAGCCTGTCCACCATTTCCTTTTCCCTCAACCCATCATGCTTAGTGGTTCCAAGACTAAAACTCCCTGAAATAACTTCAGAGAATGAAGAAGTATGGAGTTATAAAAGAAATCTTTCTTAACTCAAGTTCCAAACTTCTAGCATATATTAAAAGTTTTTCTAGGTATGACTTTTTCCTTCCTTCCTTGCCTCCCTTCCTTCTTCCCTCCTTCTTTTCTTCCTTCTGAATTTTCCTGAGAGTTAGAGATTGCTTAAGGACCATGAAAGGATGTTCTTGATGCTCCCCAACCATGGCAAGAGAGAAAAAAAATTTCTGGATCCTCAGCAGGAGTGTTATCAATGGCAGATCCATAATATGTCATAGGAAAAGGGAGAATATCATTAAGCTCCTTGTGAATTACTTGCCCTTTCTTTTGAATACCTTTTTGGTTTTTCTTTCTTTTTAAATCTTTATACTTTCAGGTATACTGTCTGGTAATAGAATTCTCTTTCCCTATAAAACTATAGATTCCTTGAGGGTAAGTTCCCATGTTGCTCACCCACATTTTATCCTTAAACCTTAGCCATTATTCATATTTGATAACTGCACTGAATTCGTAAGGTAGTAGCAAGATCAAGGCCAAGTGTCTTTTCTGTGTTCTAAGCAACTTGGCCTTGGAGTACTATTCTTTAGCTTGAATGCCAAGAGTTTGTAACTTGTTCTGGCTTGTCACTTTGTTCTATTTTTAAAACTTCAGAACTTTTAGGGAGGACAGTATTGTTAGAAAATGATGTGATTTCATTTCAGAATGATCACAGTTCCTAGAATGATCAACTTTATGTATCTTTATTAATTTGACATCAAGTCATATTCAGAAGTTAGTATCAACTGCTTGCAGCTGGATAGTCTGCAGAAAATGCTATTTGGGTGGTTCTAGGTAGGTACTTCTTCAGAAGCCATGCTTCAGAGCCTATGTAAACCCTAATCTTATTCCAAATCCTCCCTCTTCATTCAGGTCCCTATGTGCTCATTAACAGTATAAAAAGAAGTTCCTCTTTTTGTAAAAAATAAAATAAACTGTTAAAAGCAAATAATGGCTGGGTGCAGTGGCACATGTCTATAAACCCAGTGACTTCAGAGGCTGAGGCAAGTGGATCTCAAGTTCAAGGCTAACCTTAGCAATTTAGTGATGCCCTGTCTTAAAAAAATAAAGCCAAAAGGGGCTGAGGATGTAGTTCAATGGTAGACTACTCCTGGGTTCAATCTCCAATACAAAATCAAACCAAAACCATAAAAAACAAACAAACAAACAAACAAAAAACAAATAATGTTTTCTATTGTACTGGGAACAGTTCTACACTGACAAAATAGAACCTACTTGGTTGCAACATTTTAAAGAGTTCTTGATCAATACACATACACACACAACACACACACACACACACACACACACACACACACACACACAAGTACCAGATAGATGTTTGATTTCATAAGTACAGTCTTTGGAAATGAATTTCCTTACACCTTCAGTTCAAGTGTCCATCTGGCAATGTGGTATATTATCAGGAAATGAATCAAGAGAAAAGGGAAGTGTGTTGGGACAGTACTGGCTCTAAATAAAGGGCTTGGTCAGGTCTGGAGAAGTTTAGTTTCCTGAGGCAGTATGAACTTGAGATTATTGATTGTAATTTACCAGTTCAGAGACAAAAGTGGAAGATGTTATTGTTTTTGACTATCTTTAATCTTAGTTCACTATTTTTAAAAGGTAGGGGAAATTTTGTCCATTTTTAGGGCTTCTGTTTCATTTACAAGTCAAAGATGATTCAAATAGCTACCTATGCTTTCAATACTGAATATACAAATTCTTTGGTGAATATGGATATAAATATATAAATCAATTCAATAGCACAGGTTTGTTGAGCTGAAACTTAGTTAGCACTGAAGTCCATGGCTGTATTCATGTAATAAGCCAGAATGAACACAAAATAGTGTAAGGCAGAGATTGGTAAGATTTCTCCATGCAGGGCCTGATAATAAGTATTTCAGGTTTACAAGCCACACAATTTCTGTAGCAACAGTTCAAGCTTGTCACAACCACTCTGCCCTTGTAGTGAGAAAACAGTCATCAATAGCATGTAAATTAATAGATATGGCTGTGTTTCAATAAAACTTTATTTCTAACAACAGGCAGTAGGCCAGATTTGGCCCATGAGCTAATCCCTGGTGTAAAGGATAGCTGCTCACAACTTTTGTGGAACTAGATTAGAAACAATAGTGCCCCAAAGGGGTACATCCATCTGCCTTTGTTCTTTATGTTGCTCTTCCATTTAAAAAAAATGTGAGCTGGGCACCATGGCACATGCCTATAATCCTAGCAGCTCAGGAGGCTGAGGCAAGAGAAAGAGGATCTCAAGTTCAAAGCCAGCTTCAGCAAAAGTGAGGCACTAAGCAACTCAGTGAGACTCTATCTCTAAAAAAAATACAAAATAGGGCTGGGGATGTGGCTCAGAGGTCAAGTACCCCTGAGATCAATCTCCAGTATAAATAAAACAAAGTAAAACAACAACAAAACCCCACCAAACAAAAGAAACAAACTATGAAATGATGTGAATTTTAAAAGATGGCAGGTTTTAAAAAGCTCTTGTGTTGGGTAATTTAGGAACCTTTGACAGAATGTATGTGAGCATATTTGAGAAGGGATGGTATAAAAGAGACAGGATGGTACAAGCTTTGGGAGACATATTATGTGGCACAGGTCAGTAGGCCAGAGACTACACACACACAACAGAAATCCTCACAAAGCACTGCTCACTGCTTTCTTGATTGTCTTATTGTAGTAAGAGCTTATATTGGATTCTATTATTCATTAATCTCTATGAATGGAACTTTATTTTGGAGAGACTAATATCATACCACCAAAAAAGCATTCCTTTCATTAAGACGTACTATACATATTAAAATGTATCTGTAGACTGCTAACTGATCACTGACTTACAGACAAATTGCTTAAAGGATTTATTTTAAAATCATACTTATTGTTCATTCATGTAGTATTCCTATAGAATAATGGGGGATATTTGGAAAATGTCTTAGAGTAGATAAGTAAACAATGATTTTCATTACATTGGAATTCAACTTGTACATATACTCAGACAGAAGGTGGATTACAGATAGATAAATGGCAAATTAGATAGAAACTGGCTAAAGTTCAGTGTTTAAATATATACTGAGCCACTGAAATCTCCCAAATGGTTGTGAACTAACTGTATCTAGATAGAAAAGATATAATCACAAAGCTAAATGTGCATACGTTTACACATTCAACACAATGCAGTTTATTTTGCCTCTTATACAGGAATAATGTTGGCCTTCAGTTTATCACTAAATGGAGAAGCATGCAACCCTTTATTAATTTGGATAACTGTTTAGCAAGGCCATGGAGATAAGATTAGAAGCTTAATTTAACTTGTGGAATTGGCCATGAATAAGGAACTTAATTTCTTTGAGCTTCTAGATACTCTTTGTGAAAATGAAAACTAAAGATTGGTTGATAACTTAAGGTCCAACTCTTAAATCAAAACTTGGCAAGAGCTAACAAGAACAGCAACAAATTGTAAATTTAAAGTATACAACAACCCACCTATTCACGTGCTTTATATAATTATGAAAAATGTATTTTTTTTAAAAAAATGATTTTCCTCTGTGGGCAATTAACTAGCAGGGTTAAATAAACCATGAGGTGGTATTTAATAGCACATTTCCACTACATGTCAGACCTCTGGCTCTGACATCTGTTTTGAGTTACTCAAACAGCTGTCTGAAACAGCTGTAGCAACCATGAACTTATTATTTTTTGTAACACAACAACAGGAACATGGATGGAAGAGTCAGAATAAAACTACAAAGTCCTCTAAGACATAAATAGATCTTGGAAGCAACTTCCATGGTAAAAATATTTATTTACTTTTTTAAAAAAAGATATTCACCTAGACAAAGAAAACTGAGATCAGTTAGATAAGACTTTTTTTAATCATCTGGATCAGAAAATCAATATAGTGGATTGTAATCAGCATTTTATTTTTCAGTAAATAAAACAGAGCCATTGCATAGGCTTGTGTCTATAATCTCAGTTACTTGGGAGGCTAAGGTAGGAGGACTGCAAATTCCAGGTCAGCCTGGGCAACTTGAGAGAGAAGTGGGAGGAGACCCTGTCTCAAAATGGAAATAAAAAGGAAGTCTGGGAACACAGCTCAGTGGCAGAGCACCCTTGGGTTTAATCTTCAGTACTGCCAAAAAAAATAGAAAGAAAAGAAGGAAGGAAGGAAGGAAGGAAGGAAGGACGGACAGAAGCAGCATGCATTTATGTAGTATAGAAGTACTGTTTCAAACATTTGTTTCTGATCTTTGTATGTATATGTGACTATATACATACATGTATAGTGTATGTAAAATGCTTCTCTTATATAGATAATGATCAAATCAGGTCAATGACTACCATTCTGAATATAAAAACACTTAGATGACCTTCCATGGATATTCTATTTCTGAGAGTCTATAATCCTGAGATGTTGAGATTCTCAAGAACTTCTGCTTAATATCAATCTAATATACCTAACAACTGGTAAGATGTTCTTTCTTAACCCAACTGTTCCTGTCTCTTTCTCCTTCTCCTCAATAAAAAATACTTTTAGTTATAAATAAAAGATCCAAGAGACATTTGGTACTGGGAATTAAACCCAGGGGTGCTTAACCACTAAGCCACATCCCCAGTCCTTTTTATTTTTTATTTTGAGGCAGGGTCTCATTAAGTTGCTTAGGGCTTCACTGAAGCTGGCCTTGAACTTGTGATCTTCCTGCCTCAAACTCTCAAGTCTCTGGGATTATAAACATGTGCCACTGTGCCTCCAAGAGGCACTTTTTATCCTATTTTTATAACAATGAAACTTTTTATCCATCTGAATTTGAGGAGGAAAAGGCCTAATAACAATGCCCCATTTAGCAAGAATCATGGAAAAACAAAACAAAACCCAAGGTCACAGTATCAAGAAGACCAGCCCAGCTCCGCTAACATATTAGCCACTGTTTTATTATATATATATATATTTGTCTATTTTTAAGAATATGAAGTAATTTTCTCATGCCACTGGGGTATGATTAAATAGAAACTTAGTCAATGGAACTGGTGTAAGGATAAGGCCTCTTTATCCTGTATTTGAAAACTGCAGAACTTGGGGGGATGGTATTGTTCCATAAGCACTAATTTAGCAACACTATCCAGGCAGCCTGAATAGTTTCCCAAGATGCCATACAAGTAAATCAATATCACACAAGTAACTACAACAACATCAGCAATGTTAACTGCAAATACCATATCAGAAGAGGTAAATTTCTAGTCTTTTAGGAGATTTATTCTACACCCAATCTAGTTTCAAGGACTCTAAAAAGGAAACTCAGGGATATGCTGCAAAAGATTTTACCTTAAAGCTAATTAGGGTGGAGCAGAGGCATGGGTACAAAAAAGAAGGCAAGGCTACCTCTAGGGAAGGAAAGCCAGCAGTCTTGCTGTTGCCTCTTTCCTGAAATATGCTTGTTGTTTAGATGTGGGAGAAATGCCCAGGGCACCAACAGAGCAGCTACCTATATCCCATACAGCAGGTAAACAAGCTTCTAGTTCAAGGGGCTGGGATAAGATGCTTATCTAGGACCTTCAAAGGAAAGCGTGGGGGTGATGAAATGTGTACAACCTTGAAGAAGAAACTTCTGCTTCAGGTTAACTCCTTCCTTCCTAATTCACTATCAGGTGTTTTATTTATGTAGTATAGAAGCTACTGTTTCTGATCTTTGTATGTATATGCGATTATATACATATATGTGTAGTGTATGTAAAATGCTTCTCTTATATAGATAATGGTCAAATCAGGGATTTACTCATGCCAAATAAATTTCTATTACAGTCATCATATAATTGCTTTGTGATCTGAACTTCTTTGGAATTCTCTGTCCCTAAGGGACCGTAAGTTCCTTGAAGGCAAGGAACTTGTCATTTCTTCTTTGACTCTCTAGTACTTTCTCTGATACTAGTAGGCACTAGTAAAAACTGACAGGATAAAATAATGAGAATAAAGGTGAAAGCATTTGATTTGTGCCAATCCAGTATATGGTCTTCTCCTTATAAATAGTGAAGAGTAGAAAGAAGAGATATGTAAGCTATTCAGGATGGGGATGCAGGTGGCAGGTGGGGGGGGTGTAGAGGTGAGTGGAAGACAGATAAGATTCTTATCTGTTAAAATCAACACATCAGTGGTGCTCAGCAGTGAAAAGATGGCTGGTGCAGACATTTAAAATTAGCTTCCCCTGACGGTTCCTTAGCAACGCTCCACTAGAACATTATTGCTTTTAGCGTGCACTGCACAACGTTCTCTTGCACATCAAATAGCTAGGAAATGGCCATTGTTAACTGACACTGAACAAAAAGATAGGAAAAACATACTACTCAAAACACCCTCCTCATTGCCCTTATGGAGAGGAACAAATAGCCCAGATTTTCTGCCGCCCTTCCCTCCCAGGCTGCTCATTAGGGATGCCAATCATTGGTCACAAAGCCTGGTGTTTTCCTCTTTATACTTCCCCAGGCTTTCCTTCTATTTGATCACAGGTGACTGCTACCATTCTTTTTATTTGTGGAAGGGAGGTGGATCAGTGACTTTTATGTTGGGGCAATATACCAAAATAAATGCCCCCAGAAACTAATAATGGCAGCAAAATATCTCTTTGGGTGAAGGAAGACATCTGAAGCTCAGGCTGGAGGGAAGATTCTGTGGGTGAAAAGGCTGCTTGTGCATAAGAAGCAAAATATACAGGTCAAAGTGATGGAAAGAAAGAAAAATAATATTAATATTTTTCTTTATAAAGCTTATACTGTAACTATGGATTAGTAAACTAATCTATAAAAGATTCATTATCTTTTACTTAAATGATGGGGTATGATACAATTTTTAAATATAAAAGGGCATCAGTGGGTGAGTCAGAATCCCTAGCACCACCATTTGCTAGGCATGTCCTAGGTCTCACTGTACCACATAGCAGCTACATGTTCCTTGCAAAAGCATCACAGGGCATTCATTTCCTCATTTGAAAAAGTCACATAATAATTACTCTTAAGTAAAAGATACCTTCTAACTAACTCTTCAGACCAATATGTGAAGCAAATAAAATATTTGACACAGTAGAATGCCTATTTCTAGAAACACCTCATTGACATAGGTGATTGAATTCCAAATAAGCCAAACCAGAAATTCATAGTAAAAATAACATCTTCCCACCATGGACCCAAATTGGCATTCTGTAGGCAAATGTTGGCTTTCAGGTGGATAATGCATATACATCAGTAGGGTACAGAAGAGAGCGCCATCATTCCAGTTTATGTGAGTCCCATTTAGGTATTGGAGCTTACCTCTTGAACTAGGGAAGGAGTTGTTGAGTTGCTCCATCACTTCCTCTAACCCTGTGCTTGTGTCCTGGGGAGGACTGAGAAGATCTTCCTCACCTTAATGAAAGAAAAAAACAAAACAAAACAAAAGGATGAATTATATGTTAGCAAAACATAGAGGTTCCAGAGAGAGGGGCCATGATTACTTTTTAAAACCATTATAGTAAGGCATGGTGGTACACACTTGTAAGCCCAGTGATTGGGGAGGCTGAGGCAGGAGGATGGTTAGGTAAAGCGCCCCCTGGATTAGATGCCCAGTACATATCTTCTACACACACACACACAAACACACACACACACACACACATATGTGTGTGTGTGTGTGTGTGTAAAATTCCCTTTACTTGCTCATGAAGAACATTAACAAAAAAAAAAATACTCCAGCTTAATAATTAGAGGACATGGGCTGGGGTTGTGGCTCAGCAGTAGAGTGCTCTCCTAACACATGCAGGGTGCTGGGTTCAATCCTCAGCACCACATAAAAATAAAATACAGGTATTGTGTCCAACTACAACTAAAACAAAATATAAAAAAAATAATAATTAGGGGTTAATTCTTTAAAGTGAAGAATTCTACATAGTTATTTGTGTCACTATTCTTGGAGAAGAAAACAAAGTTTAAAAGATTGTGTATCCACTGAAAAATAAAAAGGGATAGGGATGTGGCTCAGTCATTAAACACCCCTGGGTTCAATCCCTGTTACCAAGGGGTGGATGGAGAAGTTAAGTTGATAAATCTTCTTTTCTTATGAAACATTAACAAATGTGAATCCTCTCTCCTAATTGAACCCCCAGGGGCCCTCCACCACTAAGCAGCATCCCCAGCCCATTTTATTTTTTATTTTGAGACAGGGTCTCTCTATATCAAGAAGGCTGTTCTGGAGCTTGCAATATTCCTGCCCTAGCCTCTGGACTTGCCAGGATTACAAGCATGTGCCATTGCACCCAGCTGAACTTTTTTGGAATGAAACAATTATTACAAAATTGCAGGGTATCTCCTCAACACAAAAGAATGTTTCATTCTGTGTTTACTTTATGAAGGTAAGAATAAAGTGAAGACACTGAGGTATTTTTTTCATGCTTCACTTTGACATTTAACTAAAATTACAAACAAAACTCAAATACTTTTAAGGCCCAATGTAATAGAAATAAAAGTTGCACGTGACCTGCATAGATAATGAAACATTAGTATTCTAAGGATAGTAGACGTAGAGTGTAATGGGGAATTTTGTTCCTTTCCTCCTTGTTACTTGGGACTACATTATCAAAATGATGTTTGATCATTTTATAGAGAGAAATTTTCTTTCTCAGTTTTGAGATTTGCTTATGTGTGTAGAGTGCTGATGTGTAAGTAAAGGAATTCTTGAGGAATGGATGGCTTTCTCAGGGAATGAGAATCTCCTTATAGACTTTGTACATCAGAGTCTCTATTGTTCATTCATGTGTCAAAGAAATACCCCTCAAAGAACATTTTGCAGTAAGGGGGAAATTTCTTAGGTATAAATCAAGTTCATTTTCAATTTTGAAGGTTCTCTGAAACTAATTTTCCATAATAGTCAATCTTCCAATAATTAAAATAACATCTTTTCAAGCTCTACTTGTTCAGCACATTGTTACTTCCATTTAAAACAAGACCTTGTTTCAGCAAGTCAGCAATAATGACCATGCTTAAGGGCAACCTCAGGTTCACATTTCACTTATAACAGGGGAGCCAGTGAATAAATGATTTATATATTTTTATCATTTCCTTTAGTCTATACCACTTGGATTTTCAATGATAATTGTAATACTGAAGTTATTCTTACATTTTCATCTTTTTTGGGGTGGGGGGAGTACTGGAGATTGAAGCCAGGTATGAGTTACCACTAAGTTACATCCCCAAACTTTTTGAGACAGGGTCTCCCGAAATTGCTGAGGCTGGCCTTAAATTTGGGATCCTCCTTCTTCAGCCTCCTGAGTGGCTGGGATTTACAAGCATGTGCCACTACCACACCCAGCTTATCCTTGCTTTTAAAGCACCAGCTAAAAGAATCACTGCTAATGCTAACCATTAAGACAAAAATCATATCTTAGTTGGATCTGGGGCTTTATATCATTATTAGAATGGAGAGTTAAGATTTGGGATAATAAAAAGCCTCTCTGTATCTCATGGTAACAGACCATAGGAAACCTCTTTGAAATAACAAAGACAGAAAAGGATTAAGGTCACAAAATAGAAAAGGAAGACTCTTTCTCTATACATGCGCATGTGTACACACACACACACACACACACACACAATCTTTAAAGAAAGAAAGTAATGAAAGAAGGTATTTTTCTTTCTCTTTTCTTGTAGTGTTAAATGCCCATTATCTGGTGAAGATGGAATGAATGAAATACTACCATGAGGAACAGGATCCTGACAACTGCAGGGCTGATTATATCTCTTTGTTCCATTAGTGATGCAGATTTTTGCTGAATTGGGAAATATGAGGCATTTTTAATGGTGGCAAGTCCATCTCTGTGACAGTATGTCTTATAGAATAAATCAGAACCTACAGAGACACTCATGAACATTGATGTTAATATTTCTGACAGTTTAATTACATCATACTGGAGCTCGAGGAACTCAATAGTAGTGTGTTAAGATTCAGGTTCAGTTCAACGATGTGATTGGCATTCCTGTCCCTGAATTATTTCAAGGATCAAATTATAAAGTATAAGTTGAATGATGTCAGCCAAGTTCAACTTTACAGATAAACTATCATCTGTGAGTCTCAAATAGGAGTGCCCAAGTACAAATGTAAAATTAGCTTGTTTTAATGGAAAACTTTCATGGCAGTGATAATTACATCCATTCAAACTTTTTTTAGTGCTGAAGATTGAACCCAGAAGCTTTGTGCATGCCAAGTACACATTCTACCATTCAACTACACCCCTAACCCCCCTTCAAACATTTTTGAGTATCTAATACATCCTACATATCACATAAACAAGTGAAGTATCATCTTGTTTTCTTCTTTTCTCAATATTCTCCAGATTTCCCAACATGACTTTATCTTTTTAATTGAAATCAGATACATCTCCTGCATTGATAAGTAGAGATGAATCAACTGAAAAATGCTTAATGCCTAATATTTTCAGTATTACATTATATAGGAGAAGTTAAAACTTCTAAGTGGACCCTGAATTGAAAGTAATATCATTGTACTCTAATATACTGGGTCAGTTTTTTTTAAATGATTTACATAAAACCCATAAAAATTAACTGTAAGATTAATTTTCATTAAAAAATTGACCAAAACTGACTATATTCCAGGCACAGTTCTAGATGCATGAGTTATAGAAATGAACAACCAAAAAGCCTTGTCTCAATGAATCTCACATTCTTATGGAGGTATTCATGCTGAACAAATAAACGAGTAAATTGTTTATGTATGTTGGGTGGTGATAAACATTCTTTTTTTAAAAATTATTTTTTAGTTGTTGATGGACATTTTTAAAAAATTTATTTATATATTGTGCTGAGAATCAAACCCAGTGCCTCACACATGCTAGGCAAGTGGTCTGTCACTGAGCCACAACCCCAGCCCAGGTGATAAACATTCTTGAGGAGAGGGTTTGAAAAGGACAATGAGGACAAATCTTAAGAAAGGGCAGCCTTGGAAGCCCTCATTATAAATTGCACTTGAGCAAAACCTTTTAAGGACTTGAGGATGTGAGCCATGTAGGAATATAAAGGGAAACTGTAACAGACAGATGAAATAGCAAATGCAAAGGTCCCAAGAGAAGAGTGTGATTGACTTGCTCAAAATACAGCAAGAAGAAAGACAGTGTAGATAAGAATGAGAAAGTTTGGGAGGAGCAGACTTTCCTGGCCCAAGAATTTGGATTTGCTCATGTATGGGACAGTCCTAAATCCAACCCATGACCTAGAGTCAAGTGTAGCTGTGCTCTTAGAAAATTTCAGTCAACTAACAGAGATGTTTCTTTTTTTGTGGTGCTGGGGATTGAACCCAGGGCCTTGTGCATGCAAAGCAAGCACTCTACCAACTGAGCTACATCCCCAGCCCCAACTGAGATGTGAATGAGAAAATGCAACTTAAGAATTTTGTTGCAGGGCATGGCAGTGCACTCCTGTAATCCTAGCCTGTAATCTCAGCAGCTTGAGAGGAGGAGCAGGAGGATCACGAGGGCAAAGTCAGCCTTGGCAATTTAGGGAGATCTTGTCTCTAAATAAAAATACAAAAAAGGCCTGGGGATGTGGCTCAGTGGTTAAGCACCTGTGGGTTCAATTGCCAGTACCATAAAAAGAAAGAATTTTGTAGTTATTTATAAACATGGCCATAGCCAACAGAAGGTTCCCAACATATAAAAATGCTAAGATTTGAGGAGACAGAAATGCTAATTGCTCTGATTTGATCATTACACATTGTATATTATATTGAATTAAAATGCTGTGCCCCCAAAATAAGCACAAATACTGTATGTCAATGAAAAATAAAAATTATGACAGTTGATATAATGTTTGAAGACATCAACCTAATAAGATACGAATATCTGTGGGTTTTTTGATCATACACTATGCAAAATGACAGGCAACCCCCAAATGTTCCTGATCCTAATAACCATACCTGTGACAACAAGCCCTCACTCACCCCACCAAAAAAAGAAAGAAAAAAAAAACCTTTTCATTTATTCAATAGGAAAATACATACTGAATCACTAATGTGCCCACTAGGAATCTGGTCAGTCCTTATCCATACTTTACTGATTCATTGCCTGCTCAAATAGCATACTGCTAGTGGTTGAGGGATTTTAGTTAATAGCAGTTCCTTTACATTTAACACTTCAACTTGATTCAACTCCAAATTGATTCTCACAAACACATGTAAAAATTTTTTTTTCGATTCCTAGCAATATGATCTTGGCTTTTCTGAAGTTAGCCAGAGAAATGACAGAAACATTTCAAAAATGAATGTTTCAAAATAAAGAAAGATAGAGTCAAATTCAAATATTACCTTGATACACCATAATGTGTTCATTTCTTTTCATCACCAATGAAGTTAAGAAAAAAAA